TTTGTTATATGAATAGTAGTTTATTTATTAAATTCGCAATTTTATGAGTATAATTGATAGTAACTAAATAATAAGTTATGGTATAAACTAGACTATAAGGAAACAATGATGTCAATTTTAATTTTAAATTACTTTTTATTTTGATTATTACTGTATAATAAATAGGAAATAGTAATTTGATTGTTAAATCATACGTTATTTTATATAATGTTACTCTTAGTTTAGTTTATTTGTAAATGTTATGACCTATTTATGCTTTTGCGACAAACTTAATAATTTTATTTTTAATTAATAACAAATCAACACCGGTTTAGTAAATAATCTATTTTAGAAAACATACAAATGGTTCCCCTTTGGTTTAAATACTAAAATTGTTAATACAGTAATACAAAATTTTTGATTTTTTAAAATAAAAAAATGTGTAAATAATTATTTTTTATTTGAATAAATAAACACCAATCAAATGTCAATCAAATAGTCAAATTATCAAATCAAATAATAAAAAATAATTATATTTAATTTTGTAGTTTATATCTGTTTGACATAGAGTTTTTTTAATTATATTTTAATTGTATTAAATATATATTATAATTGTATTAAATATATATTTTAATGAATTATTTGCATTCAATAGTCTAGTAATTTAAGTCAATATTAATGTGAAAGTTAAATTAGTATATGAAATATAAAATGATTATGAACTTATTACATAAAATGCTAAATAAAGTTTATGATATATTAAGCTCACGATTTTTTGAAACTTTTGTTGTTAATATAAATACTGTAATATTATCATAATACTGTATAAATTATATTTAAAATATGAATTTTATATAAGAGAAATAACTTAATTACAATTTTTTCAAAACTAGATTAGTATTAATGTTTTGTTTAAATATTAATATTGACATATTTAGTGAAAACAATAGTATGAGAATAAGTTGAATGATATAATCTTATCTTTATTTAAGATATACACTATTTTTAAATGGGATTTTTTATTTTTTAAAGTCAAGTTATATTACTAATGTATTTCTATTTATAAACAATGTTAATTTTACTATTACTTTTAATCTATCTATAACTTACATAATTGTTTAATTTTATATAAATTTAGATTAAAACATAAAGTATGTATGATACTTATAAAACATATTAATATAATAAATAGTACAATGTTATAAAATTAAGATTTTTATAAATTAATTATAAAATAAATTGTAATAAATGATATAATATAATATAAATAACGGTATATTAATTATACCAATAATCAAACTAACTCTAGTAAAAAATTCTCTAATGTTAATCTAAAATAGTGATTATAAAAAAACTTGTTTTTAGCTTGCTATTTTCAAATAATTATTTTATATTAACACAAATTGTATCATTAATATATATATTATTTACTAAATGTGTTAAAATAAAAAATATATATTTTAGTTATTTATTAAGCTCCTATTTTAACATTTACTTACATTTTAAATAATAATAATAAAGTTAAAATCAAAATTTAACCTAAATCTTATATAGCTATATTTATACCATGTAATGTGTATTTCAAAAATGTTTTATTATTATGACTATGTTAATGAGATTACATAAAATTTTACTTTATGCTAAACAAATTATTTTACTAATATATTGTGTATTTGAAATCTACTTAATAACACATTTGTAATTTTAAAAACTAATAATATAATTATATGATGTTATCAAATATTAAACTATTAGTTATTTAATGTTAAAATTGTCTGTATTTTATCAAGAATTTATTTAATAATATTTTCAAAGTACTATTAATTACAAAAGTATATATATATATATTATTTTAGATAAAAATAATATTAATGAAAATATTTTTCAAGTTATTTTTAATAAAATGTATATTTTATTTATAAGTATAAAAGTTATATATAAGTTAAAACTCAAGGATAAATAAAGCAAAAGACGGTTATAAATCGTTTTATGTAATAATTATTTAATTTGTTTTTATAACTGTATATATTGTTTTAGATTTATGCAAATAACTGGAGGGGAAAATAAATTTTATTTATTTATTAGAAAGTTGTTATTAATTTTATAATTAAATTAAGAATATATATTTCTTTCAAATATTGTATTATTTTTCTAATTTTCATATAAAAAATTGTGATTAATATTTCATTACCTATAAATTTATATTAAAACATTTGTTCTACAAAAAAGTATCATATTTTTTTAAATAATATATTATTTAAATTAATAAGTGACCGGATTTATAAAAAGTTATTTACTATTACAAGTATTAAATAAGTTTTTATCGATTATAGATAATATATTTATTATAGAAGAAGGTATTATAAATTAGATATATATTTTAAATTAAATCATTATTATTATCAAGTTATTAATTTTTCATTAAATCTCATGTTTTTTCGACAAAAAATTTAAAGATTTTTGTTTAGTATTAGACCGCACGCACAGGTAGTTTGTGTGCTTATGAATCATAAGTTATGATAGTTAGATCATACAAAACATTACACTTGTTTGATAACAAATAACAAAACTTCAATAAACATTGATATGAAAAGTGAATAACCTTTAAGTGAGAACTATAGATGATTTGGGAAATAGTTAATTAACAGCTGATTAGTCAACTAATATTTGCTGAAAAATATGAATTATTTGTATATTTAAAAACTATCAAATTAGTTTTTATATTTTTTACAATTATACATATACAAATTTATATACATTTAAATTTAGCTAATTATAAACTACTAGTAATTTTTCCTAATACTAATAAATTATCCKAATTAATAATTAATTATTAATATTTACATAATTGTTATATTTTATTTTTATAAATTATTTTTACTTGAAAAACATATCTTTACATTGAAATTTAATATGCATTTATTTTAATTTATATTAATGAATGAATTATTTTTTAATTTTATCACAAAATTGAATTTTAGTATATAATCTTTCATAATGTACTCTACCGTTGATGTAAAAATAGGTTTTATCTATAATTCATTATAGTTTTTAATATTAGTAAAAAACCGTTCACGAAATTTTAAGTTTGTAACGAATTTCTTGAATAAATAATAGGTTATTATGCCATATAGTATATCATTTTTATAGCCAAAATTATCATCAATACTAATGGATTTTAATAAAAAATATATTATATTATATTATATTATATTATATATGCCAATTTTATTACTCTATTCTATGTGACTTATATATTAATATATGATATTATCAGATTTACAATAAAAATTATACTGACATTCATACTGTACGGTATATAAATATATGTCAAAAACGATTATTGAGTATACAATATAATATATACAATACTTATTGCTGTTTTATTTATGTTATTTATAAATAGAAAATTGATATATTTTATTATTGTTGTTATTTTTATACATATATATGTATTTATTTTTTGAAAACTTTTTATAATTATTAATTTTACTTTGTTTATTGATATAATTAAAAAAATAGATAATTAATAATATATCATATTTTATAATTTTTTAAATATCTACTGCTTTTAAAGCTAATATTGTATTATTTTTACAATGTAAGTAAAATATTTCTATAGTTATTATATTATTATTATGGTTATTTTATTTTAATTTTTATATAACAATTAAAAAATTTGCTGATATTATTATTCGTAATTCATAATATACAAAAAAAATAAACATAATTTATTAATCATTTTTAAGGATAATAACCAAAAATTATTTAATTTATACTAATTATTTATTAAATTCATTGCCTTTTGGATCTTAAACTAATTTTAATATTTTCGTATATTTAAATGTAAATTTATTGCTAAAACAAATTCTAATCTTTACTTAATTATATATATATATATGAATTCCTTTTCTAAACTATAATTTATATACTCTTTGGACACTTCCTATAATATCGATATGTATCCAAGCATTTGAACGATTTTGCTTTAGTATGAAAATAAAAATAATAAAAACATTAGTTAACTATTTTGTTGTTTTACGAATAAATTTAAAATTAGTAAATCACTTGATTTTATTCATCTCTTAAATTGTCTATTAATGTTATCATTCAATGTTATAGTTATCTTCATTTGTTTGTTATGTAATAACAATTTTATCAATCATTAATATTATTTTTTTAAAATCTTTTTTTGTAAAGCAAACCATATTTTTGAGAAAAGAGTAAACTTTTTAACTATCAATCGAAACATTTATAAAAAACAAAACAATTATTTATTAGTTTAAACTGAAAATCACATGAACTTGAGTACAGAAACCATACATTTTCAGGAAGTGTTAGAAAAAGTAAACGAAATTTTAAGATTAGAGTGAAACAGAGTTTATGGCTAATTGTATGCATGATTAGGGTCTATAGTCAACCAATTTTTGGCTCATTTCCCAATTATAAGTCAAAATAAAATATTAAAATTTTTGAAATCATGATTTGAAAATGTGATAAAACAGATGATTGTAAATTATGACTGCTTTTTGTGTATATTTCCTATAATATATTCAATGAGTGCAATATTTTTACTTTCAGTTGAACGCAATTTGGCTGTCATTCAAAATTAAAGATAAAAATATTTTTGTTTATATTTTTAGTCCCGACATAAGTGTCACTGAAAAATTTTATACATTAAAAACTAAAATATCTGTATTTTTATATCACATGAAATTTTGATATATTTTTATTGATAGCTAATTCTAAAAATAATACTCTAAAGATATCCACATTTTTAAAAAAATCTTTGTGTTTATGTTGTTTTAAACAAAACATTAATTAGTCATGTGTTTAACAAACTTTTTAWAAAAATGTTTTTTCTTATTGATAAAAATTATAATACAGTTTTTAGCAATTAGTTAATAATCTCAAAAAACTTAGACAAATATTTAACTTAAAATAAAAACAAATTTTATTTTTAATATTACTAATAATAAATGTTTTCGTAAGACTCATGACTTTTATAACTATATTTTCAGAGGTTTTCCTTCTTCTGGCGACTCTTCGACGGACAGCGATTCCGAGGACGAGAATAATGAGAACAGCAGTTCCCGGGAAACTATCGCTGAGATTATACAACGACTTCAGAAGAGCTCATCTCAACCAATACCTGAGGCTATATTAAAGGACTCGACAAATGCCAATATGGCTGAGTGGCAGCCCTACTGTCAGGTGACACTCAAACACACCAAAGAAGTTGCCGGTTATAACACCATTTCGGAGGCCTTCCATAAACTGGACTTTTGTAATGCCATTCGTGACATACGTCGCTTCAATTACATCAGCAAACTATTGCATCTATTAATCACACAAAACCTGACTTCTTTGAGTGGTTGTGCCACTAAAGTGCTCTTTACAATGCTTGAGGAGTTGGCCTGGCAGGGTAGGCATTAAACACATCAACTATTTTATTTTATACAACTGTCCCAACCTTTCCTTTTATATTTACTGAACATTGTTTCCTATTTTTTTATTCACTTAAAACCATTAGATATTTCTTTTCTATTAATTCTTATTAGTACTTATTTTTTTACTATCATTACTATACCCTATGTTTTGTCTATTGAAGTTATAGTAAAAATAAAAACATTTTTTAAAAATTTATTCATATTTATCTTAATATTCATATTATATTATATAAATATATTGATAACAACAGAAAACTTTTATAAACAGCAATTATTATAATAGAAATAATTTTATTAAAATATAATTACAATTATAGTTTTTATTCAATTATAATAGAACTGAAATTTCTTAATTTTTACCACAAAGTTAATAACAAATTAAAATTATTGTTATTAAAAAAATCATCTAATAAAATAATTATTAAATAATAGTAATTTACAGTTATATTATAATTTTTATTAATTTGTATCTTATTTATGATACTATTATAATAAAATGTTAAGTAATATTATGTCTTTAATATATTATTTAGTTGCCAGTAATCAGCAAAATATTCATATTCTCCAAACATTGCTTTATGACCTCAAGAAAATTATGAAAAAGTATTACTGTTGGGGTCGACCTCAGGGCAGCACTCGGCTATGGGAACAGCACTTAAAGACAATGGAGCGCATCTGCAATATGGCAAATACAATTCAAATTAAAGAGGTGTTTATTTAATTATATATATATATATATAAATATATTGATAATAATTTATTTAATATTTATTAACAGCCGGCTGAAGATGGAAGCAAACGGTTGACTGATTTGCCCGAAGAGATAATCCGTGAAATTTTGTTACGACTAACCGATTATAAAGATTTGATGAGCTCTGGTCAGTCATATGATATAATGCAGTCCCTGTTAGACGAAGAGCACATTTGGCGACAACTCTGTAAATATCATTACACAAAGCCTCAGATGCGATGGCTATTCGCCAATTCAACCAATATTTATACAAATAATGGTAAAGTCGATTGGGAACGAGTCTTTCATCAGCTAAGAAAGTATGTCATTATTATTTTGATTTATAGACTCATTAATCACTCCTTTGAAACCACAAATCACTTTATGATTTTTAATGATATCATAAAAATTCTTAGTAAACATAAAATACTGTAATATTAAGGATTATTAGTAATAATTTACTATCAATTTGTTATATATTTTAATAAGTTTTTATAATATTTAAACAGAAAATTTGGACTCAAGGAAGAGTATGCTGACTGCCTATTCCTATGCAGACACTGTCGATGCCTTTTCTGGAAGGTTTGTATCATTTATTGATCAATTGATTGCTTTTATAAATCTATATTTTTTCACTATTGACAACTTAAATGACGAGTTATGGGGAAATTATATTTTTTTATATAAAGAAATATTATTTTGTTTTTAATATAAAAAACGAATTGAAATTATAAATTATTTTTTTATTTATCAAATCTATGTGTTAATTACGTCAATCTCCCGGTGCCATCCACTACAGTCATACGGTCATCCATGCGTTTATCAGAATCGCGTTCCACTACCCGGTGTTAAACAACAGACCACCAGAAATGAGGCACAAAATCCTGTTGTCGTCCATAATATGCCTTTCTTTCATCATCCGCTGGTTCTTCATTACAATAATAATAATCAGCAAAACAACAATCGCTTGGATAACGACTCCGATGACTCATTGAAGGTTCCCCTTCACGTACCGGTTCCTCCTCAAGCGTTTCTCAAGTTTTTCTCTCTTTAAACACAGTTAGATAGGACACAGAAAACACAATTTATAATAACAACTCTTTCTTCATTATTATGACTTTAGTTTAAATTTTTATAATAATTAGTCATTACTTTAAGACAACAATTACTGAAAAGTTTAATTGAATTATTTTCATTATCTATTATATAAAAATAGAAATTTTATAACCAAACTATCTTTGTATTATTACTCTCTTATAACTTCTTATTTTAGTAAATTAAAATTACTTAACAAAATAAGAAATTAATTCAATTTCTTAATTATAATAATTATTATATTATAGCCATTATGTTAGCTTATTATAAAAAAATTAAATCTGAATTGAAAAGTTAGTTGAAAAACTAAATAAATTTTGTAAATATTTAAAATCTCTTAAAATATTTTTTCCTATTTAACAAACTTATTACTTTGTTAAAATAATACAGTATTTGATAGTAATATAAATTTATATGTTTGAGTGAAATTTCTAAATATTATTATCACAAAAATATAGATTTATGTTAATTGTTGTTAATTCATTAAATTTTGAAAATTTGAATTATAATTATTAGTTTGTTTTGATATTAATAATAGTCTTAATTGAGTTGTTTTTATACTGTTGTTTAAGTTGTAGCGCAACAGTTATGATTGAATATGTTTTATGTAAATCACTGTTACATTTCAATCATAATTTTTTATTATAAATATTGAATTACTAAAAGTTGTATAAAATAGTTAACGAGTAAAATGAATTGAAATATTGTTATATTTATATTTACTTATTTTAATCATGAATTTGCATTAATATTTTTATTTTTTATGTAATTATTTTGTGTAAAAATATAATTTTTTAATTGCTATTACATTTTCTTATATTTAATAATTATTATTATTATGACAAAGCTATTGTTTTTGCTCAATTGTGATTGAATTTATAATTTTATTAATTTTAATTAAATATATTATTATTTAATTAATTGGAAACTTATCTGTTAGACCTGTATAATAATTTAATTTAATTGGCATTTATATTTATAGTTTTTTATTATATTTTATTTAAAAACTTAAAAATTTTATTAAAGATTGATATGAAATGCATTTTGAATCGAATTTTTGTTCAATTTTTTAGTAACATTTATTTATATTAATTAATAAATTGCATATATAAATATAGACTTAATTAATTATAAACAAAATATTAATGCCAGCTATTGTGTAATCACTATAAATTTAATCAGTGATGAAATAAAAATTATATTATGTTTATAATTTACGTTTCACATAATGTGTACATTTTTAATATTGTTAAAATTTGACATCAAATTCAGTTAATACTGATTTTTATTTAGACAAATTTTATTACTAATCAATAGTGAGAATATTTTAATAAGTTATACATTATGTTAATATGAATCGTTGAAAAATATACAAATTAGTTCATAGAATTAACTTATATATAAATATGTACATAATTTTTTAGATATTTTATTGATATTTAAAATTTTTAATATTTACTAATAAGCGATGTTTACCATAAATATTATTTTTTAAAATGTTAATAAATATTTAAATATTCTCTTAGGTCAAAATCACTGTTATAATTTTACTTTATTATAAATATTAATTTAAGATACAGTAATATTTAACATTAATGATATACTATATAATATTATATACAATATGTATTTAAATTGTTTTGTATTGCTATAAATTAATAATTTATTGTAAGTTAAGTTATGTACTACAGTAGATTATATTATTTAAAGATTTATTAGTATATTTTTGAAATTTTATTTTTTACTTTAATTTGGAAAAACATATATATAGTCATAGATTTATTATATGAAAAATATATAATTACCGGTATTAATTTTTATAATTAATAATATTGATGTAAGATTATAAAATAATTTTTTGAAATAATTTAAATGTTTTTACAAATGAATGAATATGTTATCCATTTAAAAATGTTAATTAAATAATATGTATCTATTAATATAATGTATATTTCTATATAAAAAATGTATACTTCTATATCAATGAAATAAAGTTTTATGTTATCTAACTTTGTTTCTTATAAATTTAAGAATTATCTCTAATTTAGTTGTAAATATTTATTTATTTATTTAAATTAATTTAAAATTACACTGTTCAAAATATTGATATACATATATCATAATTAATTAAACTTTTAATAATAAAAACAGTTATTGCATTGCATTTGTCATTCATTTAGAGACAATCTTAAACAAATGCGGCGGCGATGATAGCGGCTATGCTATTAATTTCAATTATCTGGTCAACAATATGTTGAATTAAAAAGTGACCAAGGACAATGTTGTAGATAATTTTAAACTGGATAAGATTGTAATTGGTCATTTTTTTAATTAATTGTATGATTTGCCAGATAATTGCAGTCGACTATTATTTATAAATTTGTTAAACAGTCGACTGTAAATTATCTGGCATATAATAAAATTAATTAAAAAATGACAAATTATAATCTTATCCAGTTTAAATTTATCTACAACATTGCCCTTGGTCACTTTTTAATTCAATGTATTGTTGACCAGATAATTGAAATTAATAGCATCGCCGCCGCAGCTGTTTAAGACTGTCTGTTGATTTAGTGGATTTCTGGGACAGTTTTATAACAAAATTTGTTGCTTTTATTTCAGTCATATTGTATTATATAAGCGGTTCGGTATGTCGTTTGCTTTGAACACATATATTGATGAAAATATTGGAAATACAATCCGTATTCAATCATTTGAATAACGATGTCAACCATAATAACTGAGTTTATGTTAATAATAAACCCGTTATAACTTATAATACTTTCATATTTATACTAAACCCTTGTTTTGCTGTTATATACAAATGAAATTATTTTATATCATAGTTATAACTTATAACAAGTAATATGAAATTATTTGAATGTGTTGTTTATGCAAATGTTATTTTATGGCAAATAAAATTTTCTAAGAAATATCTGTGAGAATAATCATTTAGAAGTTTTCTATAATATTTTTGCCATATTTTGTCAATATTACTAAATTACTAAATTTATAACAAATGTTTATTGATTGGCATTTATGTAAAGTTTATTTATACAGTATACTCCAAAATATAAAATACGGTTAAATTACTTCACAAATATTACTTCATATATTTTTTAATTATTAATAATAATTTTTAATTGAATGGGTAGTAAATTTCTATTTTTCATTTTTAAATAATATATAAAATATATATACAGTAATTATTATGTGTTCCATTAATAGAGTATAATTTTAAGTATTATAATTTTTTATTAAATAATTATAATTTTAAAATGATTTTATAAGAAATAAATAAAATTACCTGAAAATTATTGTTTTTTAAGGAGTATAACAATAAATTATATTATATAAAAATTTTAATATTTGTTTTTTTATATTAATAGTTTTAAAGTACTGATTTTAAATATTGCATTTATTTTTATAGATTAATATTAATAATTATACCGTTTTAAAATAACATTTATTATTATTATATTTTTATTTGTAAAAAGTTAGTTAGTTATCCATTGATTATGTATGTATTTGACGCTAATTAAAACTGTTATTGTATTGAAGTCAATAAAAGCATTGAAATCTCAAAGTCATGTTTAAATTTTATTTTGTATATGATTTTTATAATAATAATAATTACAATTATTAATTTTAATACTACTCTCTCTTTCTTTCTCTCTCTCTCTCTCTCTCTCTCTCTCTCTCTCTCTCTCTCTCCTATTATAAAATATAAGCAATCAATTCATATGAAAATTAATTTTATTGTAAATGTCTTTACAATAAAAGCCGAGTGAGTTTTCAAAAACATATTACTTAATGAGATACTGTATGTATAGATCATAATAGAGATCAAAATGTAATATTCATAATAGAGATTCATATAATAGACATTATCTCTCTCTCTCTCTCTCTCTCTCTCTCTCTCTCCTGTTATGATTTGTAAGCCAACATCCCTGTGATGTCAGTTATGTCATCCCTCTTACAGGTTGTGGTCGTATATCGCATCCACTCTCCACTCATGACATGATTGAAAAATCGGTGAAACTTTTACACTAATTAGAAATAAGATACCAATAAAGCACTCAAAATATAACAAATACATTATCATAGGCTATACTATTATTGTAAATACATATATGAATATCATATAAAATATATTATATCGACTCAAATATACATTATATCACATATTATATATAAATTTTCTTTTTGTCTGTCAATTTCATCTATGAATCTAATCTGCAGATGGATTGCAACACAACTGGAGAGCTATAAAAACGATCGACAAATCAAACTTTATATAAATCATTCATTTATTTACTTATTTATTACTCAAACTTTTCAAAAAAGTTTGTCACTTAAGACAATAATCAAAGAAAATCTAAATTTTATTAATTTAAAAATTGAATTGATTTCAGTTTATATTAATCTACATTTCAATTAAACATATTATTGTTTTTTGTATTTATTAAATTTATTAATAATTAATCGAAAATGGTGACACCATATTTGCCACCAATTGGTCAATTTATTGGCCATCAATTTGGACCCGCAGTAAATAGTTCAACATCTCGATTATCTGATGATATGATCGCCGCACTGGCCGAAGACCTATTGATTCCCCGAAGAAGACAAGTAAGCAATCATTTGTGATCTTTATTTATATATTTCCCAAATTATTAATAATACCTTATTTTTTAAGTAAATGATTAAAACTTTAAATACATTTATTTGTTAATTACAAAAACAAATTATTATTGTATTATGTAAACAAGTATTATTGTAATATATATATATATATATAAACTATACAATTATAATATTACTAATTAAAATTAATTAAACAAAACAATGATATACTGAAGAGTAAAGTAAAAAGTGTGGTCACTCTTTAGGTGACTCTTGYGATTGATTGGGTAATTTAAATCCAAGCATTTGTGCCGTTTCGGTGACACTTCGCTCGCCTTTACTGTAAAATTGATCATAAATTTGCTGATAATTTCGGCTACTATTTAGATAACAGCGGTAAGTGTCGGCCAAGTATTTAAGTTCGTGTTTTGGTCGGCAAACCCGTTGATCGGTGACATCGTGACGCCGATACATGTCAAACATATAGACAATGGCTTCGTTACCAATAACTTTGAGGCCATCCTAATCCACACAACAAACAATTGTTTAGATATTAATCATTCAATAAAAAATAAAATCAAAAATAAAATCAAAAATAAAATCAAAAATAAAATCAAAAATAAGTTCAAAAATAAAGACAATTTTCAGTTAAATTGATCCGACCTTTCGTTTACCGTTTAATAGTCGTCGCAATTCATGGGAAATACTCCTTAAAAGTCTCAACGAGTCATTGAATTTTGTTACCGATGATGACATTTAGGAACTGTTTGGGTGATAGTTTAGAAACAAATAAAACAATGAAATATAAATTTAATATATTTTGTTTGAAACATGAATTGAATGATTGAATCACTGATTCATTGATAACACATTCAAAATCTTTACACATATTTATAGAGACATCTGTTGTAAAAACATTAGTTGTGTTAACATTTAAACAAAAGTTTGAATCAAATAATTATTTAAATGATTTGACAATTAATAGCATATATTTGATGTCAGAGGAGGAATAGGACGACATTCACACCGCAACAGTTGTCTGAATTGGAGTCACTCTTCCAACGGACCCATTATCCCGATGTCTTCCTCAGGGAATCCATTGCCAGGTTTGCCATCAATTTGTTATAAATTTACTTTTTTCATAATTTTAAATATGTAGTCGAAATACAAAAGTTTAATATTAATGTATAATTTTATATCATTTTTTAATTAAATAATAAGTGATTGTATATAATATGATTTACAATGAATTTATAATAGATTACAAAATTATTTTTGTTTTGTCAGTATTTTATTAATCAATACATTAATTAAACGATAATAGATTTGTAAAGTATTTCAAAGTAAGTTTAATCATTACTTTAACTAAAATTCAAAAGGCATTAAAAGATAGTTATTTATTAAACTATTGACTATATCTGATAACTAACTGTCCTTTTCTAAAAGCCACTTATGTTTCAATACAAGTTTAGTGGTAAGTCTTAAGCTTGGATCCGGTTCAAGAAGTTGTAGTATAAGATCCCGACAATCATTTGAATAATTTGTTGACGAGATTTTGGATACTTTGTTTTTGATGTTTCTGTTAACCATTTCTGCGTGCATTTTAGTGACGGATTCAAGATTGGTTTCAATACAAGTAAACGGTAATTGAATGCAAATCATAACATAGAGACAGACTCCGAGTGCCCAACAATCGGCTTTAAATGAATCGTATTCTTTAATTTTGCCGACTTTATGGTTAAACTGGTTATAAATATATAGTTTGACGACTTGTGGTGACATATATTCAAGAGTTCCCACGTCTTCTTTGTCTTTAAGTATTTGTTTTCTTTTATTGCTAAATCGTTTACCACTTAATCCAAAGTCCGTAAGTTTAATGGTTTCAGTGTTGTTGTTGTTGTCAATAAAAACAAGAATATTCTGCAGTTTGAGATCTTTGTGAGCGATTTGGTTTGAGTGCAAAAAGTCTAATCCTTCTGTGGTTTGTCTGAAATAATGTTTTGCTTTATTTTCATTGAGTTTCTTCAAATACTTTTGACCTGTTTTTCTGACTCCAGTGTTCATCATATTGAGAACAGTTCCTCCATTAGCCAAATCCATAGTTATATAGCATTTCTGAAGATCCATATTTGTATCACGAATTATGAACCAATCGTAGACTTTAATTATGTTTTTATGTTTATCTTTGCAATCAATCATAATTCTCAGCTCTGATCTAATATTTTCGTAGAGTTGGTTACTTCGATGTTTTCCTCCGATTTTCAATGTCTTACAGGCTTTAATCTCATGATTTTTGGTGTCTTCCATACGATAAACACTGCCAAAGGCTCCCTCACCCAATACATCCAGAAGTTTCATATTATTAGCGTTAAGACATTCTTCAACTGTTTGATAATTATCGGGAATCACGAACTCAGGGATTTCAATGCCATCGTTAGTGATTGAAGTTTTGCTTTCACTACAATTAGACGCATCGGTCGACTCTTCCATTTTATGCACTTTTTTTGTCGGCTTTTGTTTATCTTTTTGGTAAAAACACGGACAACAACACCGAATAATTGATAAAATAACAGACATCTTATTGATTACTCCAAGTCTATCAATACTTGTTTAAAGATTTTTAACAAATAATACGTTAAATAACTGAATATTCAATATTGATTCAAATTTGAAATGTTTTTATGTTTTACACAATAGATATCTCATTGAATAGATTTATTTGATTTGGTATTATTGGTGCGCGAAATAACCTAAAACGGCTGCTAAAAGAAAAACTGAGATAACAATAGTTTCATTTCTCAACAATTATAATTATAATTTCAATTTCAAAATTATAACAATTAATGTATACATTGTATAGTAATACAGATCCCGAAGTTATATGAAAAAATTGTCACAAACTTTTGTTGTTATTTGTCGAACATATTATTAATAATGTAAAAAGTTTTCTATGTTTATAATTATATTTTTGTTTTCAATTATTATTGATAAAAATTACCAATAATTTGTCATATATTATAACTTATTTGCATTTTGAATATTTTTATGTTTTAAAGTATTAATTATAATACTATAAATTAATATGTGATAAATTCTTAAATTAGTAAAAATAAATTGATTAATTTGTTTGTTTCAACTCATTTAACAGTAAAATTAATTTAAGTGAATCAAGAATTCAAGTTTGGTTTCAGAATAGGAGGTAATTTCTTATGACTTTTAATATAATTATATTTATGATTAAACTTTATAACAATTTTGAATATAATTTGATTACTCAAGAGCTAAATGGCGTAAACAGACTCGTCTCCAACTCTTACACCAAACACCGGTGCAATCGTCGTGGCGTTGGAACAGTTCATCGACAGCAAACACAAATCAAAGTGTATCACATTCAGCCATACCCTTGATATTGTCTTCGAGTACAATGACTAACTCAACCATATCTCGACCAAACAGTTCATCTCCGGTGATGTCACGCGATAATCAAGTGCTCACAACAAGCGGAATGTCATTTAGTATACCACCGGAGCATAGATTTATTAATGCATTACATTATCTCAAACCCACTTCTACTTCGAGTATAAATTCATTTCACAATTTGTTTGGGTTGTCGGCACTTCAGAGGAGTAATGTATCGATTAATCGAGAGTACGGCTCAATGCCATCATTATGTTCTTGTAATTCAGTACCAAATGTACCCACTTTTCCCATTAAACCTACTGTTTCTTTACCGACAAGTGTTTCTCAAATAAATATCTTAGAAATGACAGAAAATCATGAGAAATGCGATCCTAAAGATCAACATAAAAATCAAAGTTAATATATTTCGTGTTTAAAATGTGTGCAATTAATTATAAACTAATTACTGTATGAATGTCTAAATTGTTATTATCGGTATTTAAACTGTATGTTAATATCAAACTATACGTAATGATGTTTTGATGTTTTAATTACATTTTAATTATTAAAATGATTTAATTGTCATAAAATTGATAAATATTTGATAAATTAAAAGCACAAATTATTTAGATTAAAGTAAAAATATATATACAACACAATTAATATATGATTTAAAGGAATGTAATAAATAAATATAAAGCAAAATATCATTTATATTATATAATTTATCGTACAATAAGAACTGTACGTATATTTTGGCTATTTTGGAGCAAATTGTTAACCATTTTTGATGGTCGCCGGGAGATCAATAAAGTATGAATGAGACATTGCGTCTTCAGCTGATATACGTTGTGTTGGATTACATACGAGTAACTTCTGGAGTAAGTCACGGCCCTTAACATTAAGTTTAGGCACGACCTGTGCAAAGCTGGTGGTGGGATGATAAAGAGGGAATGGCTTGTAATCAGGTAACTGAGTAACGCCGGGCCACGAATCCTCAGTAGGTGTTCCCAATAATTTAAATATTCTTTTGAGCTGATCGTCAACATCGCTGCCTGGAAATAATGGTCGGCCAGCATTGGCCAACTCGGCAAATATACAACCGGCAGACCAACAGTCAATAGAAGTTGTGTACAATTTTGCACCAAACAATACATCGGGTGGTCTATACCTGTCAGCAAATTGTCATATATTTTTAGATAATATTTTAATAAATACGTTGATATTATATGTTTATAAAAAATAAAAATAATTTTTAAGATATCAAAAATTATTTACCACAGAGTGACCACTTCAGCCGAATAGCACCGAACAGGTATACCGAAAGCTCGGGCCAAACCAAAGTCGGCTAACTTTAATTCGCCGTTTTTGTTAATCAATAAATTTTGTGGCTTTAAATCTCTATGAAGTACATTATGGCTAACAAAAGTCGGGTAAAAATTATTACATAAATCGATAATAATATTATAATTAACATCTAATGGTCAATAAATTGCAAACCTGTGGCAAAACTCAAGTCCTCTTAATAATTGATACATAAAACTCTTGACAACATCGGGATCAATCTCACCATTAAGACTATCAAAATATTTCTGCAATAAAAATAATTAAATATATTGACCACAATTGTTGCAAACATAAGACTCAATCAATTGTTGTAAACCTTAAGATCCTGATCGCAGTGCTCGAAGACAAGCGTTAACTTCTTTTCGCTGTGAAGTACATCATGTAATCTATTGATTACCAAAACAATCAATTGATATGTCTATCACTTTCATTGATATAATCTTAAGTTATAATACCTGACAATGTTTTTGTGTTTAAGTTCTTTGAGTAAACATATTTCCCGTAAAGCACTGGACGGCACACCTTCATCGTCGTCGTCGAGACGAACCTATTGACAATACATTTATATAAATCATATTATTATTCAAACACCAATTGGTGTCACTATAATGACAATACCGACCCGTTTAAGTGCCACCACTTCTCCAGTTTCCCGATGTTTGCCCTTAAATACTGTGCCATACGTTCCCTCACCGATCTTCTCGAGCTTTTCATACTTCTGCATCGCTTCCCGAAGTGGCCAACAGTCAGACAATTCACTGATTAGACTCAATCAGTCAATTAAGAGATTACCTGAAGTGTAGTTAAATTGTTTGTCAAACTAACAGTCAATTGATTGCAATAAAAGTCAAAACAAAATAACTGATTGTTTGAAATCATTTGTTGTCGACATCTGGTGTTTGATAAGAAATGTTTGGACATTTGAAGCACCGGTACCTTAAACAGCACTGGTATCTCATTGTAGGCCTGGCTTTCAAAAGTACAACTCATAACTTACATTGTATTGATGTGTGACTGCAATACAATATCTATTGAAATTGATCTCTCATTTTGAAGAGACACAACACGTGTCCACCCAAATAGGTTTTAGTGATATTTATTTAGCCATCAATTGATGATCCATTAAATCAATGGTATGTCATATGATTTTATATAATATGACTTAATTTAAGTACAATTTGCGCTAACATTTGTGTCTTTGCAGATGAAACTCTTAACGCCGCTCTTCATGTGTTTGATTGTTGGTCTGTCGGTGACTTCATCGCCGACGGCAACAACAGTTGTTGATCAGTCAGATTTGGATCGCATGAAGAGTGCCGTCCAGTTGTCATCTCCCGTGTCGTCCAATTCATTGTCGACTCTTTATTACTCAATTCTTTCGCAGACATTACTGTCGCAAACCATTAGTCAATCGGCGGACGTTTGCAATCATTTAAAGACAATAAAAGACCAAACATTGGAAAGCATTTATTACATTACATCCACAGCTAAACTATTGACTAATTGTCAGGTATTTATCACAACAAATATAATTTAAATTAATTTTATTTAATATTATGGTTAATAACATTACAAATTTAATTATAAGATATTATAATTAATTATTAATTTAAACGATTGTATAGTTGTTGGGCTTTCTTACCCGATATTCGCGGTTACTCTTTGATACCCGATATCTAAAAAATAAGCCAAAAAATAAAATATTTGCAAAATATCCTACTTTAATGATAAAACAATTTAATGCATTAATGTGCGGAAAATGCAAATACATTTCAATTAATATAATATAATTTTATTAATTATAGAGTAGTTTATGTGTCTAATAATGTATTGAATTTGCAGTTAAATAGTGCACAATATATGACAAAACTAGAGCCCGTCATCAAAGAGGACTCATCAGTGCTGGACATATACCGAGCGGCCATTTCATTGTTGAATTTGGGTAAACCTCTGGACTCAACAAAAGTTTCCAAAGCATTGATGTCATCTCTTAAAAAGGATGAATCACTTTTAAATACTGGTCTCACCTTTCAATTGGCCGCTAAGTTATCTAAAGCTGAGGACAGAAATAGTTTTGTCGAAAAAATTGGTGACATTATTGTTCAGGCAGATGAAGTTGATGGAAGATTCTTGCAGTTTGAAGGCGGACTCGGCATTACTGCCAGCATTATTACCGGTGTCTATCAATTGGCCACTGCTAGTAATAAACCCGTCGGTTTAACAAATGTAAGTGTCGTTACACTTGAATAATATATTACCGATACATGGATTTGGTATTTATATATAAATTACATTATCATAAATAGGATCAGGCATTGAAATTTGCAAACTATTTCTTGTCACGAAAATATGTTTTGACACCAAAAGGCATCTCTGAGTTGCTTGAAGTCCTTAAACTCTTTACAAATAACAAATACCACATTCCAGTTGTGATCACAAACTACGGTTCCAGTGCTCTTTCGCCCACTAATTCAGTTTTAACTGTCAGAGTAACTAACGTTTTGGGCGCTTCATTGGGTCCTCTTTCAGTGACTATTGACAAAGCCGTGAGAGTCGATGATAAGAATGTGATATTGTCTAAGAAACCTTTTCAGGGTGTTCAAGGGGACAGGTAGGCTATTATACTATATTATATAGAAAACATATATAATATTTGCCTTAACGGTAATTTTATTTACATTTAGCAAATTATTTGCAATAAATTTTTTGGAATCGAAACCAATGAGAGGACAGTATGATGTGTCAGTGAGTGCCACTCCTACTAAAGCTGATCCACGTCTTATCGGAAACACTGGCGTTCAGATTAAAGTTATTGTTTTGACACAAGTCTCGATTGCCAGCGCGGAGATCACTGTTGCCGATCGAGACACTGGTGGCAGTGGTGCCGTTACAAAGTATGTTATGTTTATTATTTATTACTATTATAAAACCGGTGTCACCCTCAGGTTTGACTTATTTTAGTGTTATACCTGTTCCCAATCCTCCGGTATATTAAAAGATGCGAAATATATTATTTAACAAATAAATAGTTGTTGAATGATATTTGGGTCGTTTCTAACAATTTCTATAATTCATAATAGACTCGAATATCCGAATACAGTGCGAAACCCATTGGAGGCGGACACACAACAAAGGATTGTCGTTAAGTTTCAATTACGCGATAAAATAGTTGGTGACCTTATGACAGCTCACCAGACATTTGTTCAATTTGTTAATATTAAGACAAAACAAGAGATTGTTTTTATTGCTGAACCGGATTCAGTACTAAATTATAAACTTGACTTAAATTTATTGACAAAAGCCAAAGATTTGAATTATGTTAACGGAGTGTATGACATATTGATTATCATCGGTGATGCCGTCATTTCTAATCCTATCCAATGGAAGATTGCATCCATTAATCTTCAACTCTCTTCTGTCACGTCATCATCTGAAACCACCGAAACAGTCTCACCGTTTGTCCCAAAACCAGAGATCAAGCATTTGTTTAGAGAACCTGAGAAGCGTCCGGCGCTTATCATATCAAATGCCTTTTCGATTCTTGTATTGATTCCAATTGTGATTCTTTTCGGACTCGTAAGTCATTTGTTATTTTAATTATTGATTGAATCCAATGTTCGTTGGAGTCATTGAAATGTGATTCAATGTTCTCTTCCATATCATTGGAAAATTAATTTATGGCTAAAGTATAGTTGATATTAGTTAATGAATACTTATATCAAAGAGCAATTGCCATACATATGAATTAATTAGATGTTACTTATGTTTACAATTATTTAGTATTTGAATAATTTTATGTTATTTTGTTTTAGTGGCTGAAAATTGGAGTCAATCTTTCAAACTTTCCCTTTTCATTATCAGCGCTTGTGTTTCACACAGGATTGGCCCTTATATTTGGACTCTATATATGTTTTTTCCTTAAACTAGATATGTTTCAAACGTGTAAATACTTGGCGGGTCTCGGAGTTATCACTTTTCTTGCGGGACATTCATTGTTGGCCCGATTGGCCAAAAATAGAAAGCAATAACTTATTTGTTTTAATTAAATATTTTCACATTTTTAATTACATAATTTAATGTATTATTTTTGTTTTAATTTAATTTGTCAGATAATAAAATTTATATAAAGTAAACTTGCTTGTTCATTTATTGATTAACTTACAGTATTGCAATACCAGTCGATCTGTAATGTTTATATTGTAGTATATATATATAAATATAGCCCTGAGCATTTTCGCATTATTTGATGCAACAAACAAAATGATATAATGACAGCTAATGCCCTGATATTTTGTAAACAAAATTCATAATTATTTGAATCAATAATTGAACAAAATTTGATACCAAATGTTTTTTTGACTCATATGATATACAATAATATTGAATAATTGTGAATATACTGTAGTCTACTGTCATCACTAAAATCTATACTTAATATGATATAAATTGAGTGATAGTTGAGTACAAATAAATTTATATATTGAATAACTTGATTATTAAAGAGTATATTTGTTTATTAACCTTCATTTTAATGAAGTTTTTAATTTTATAAATGTAATCAATTTTATCACATTTATACTCAATTTTAAGAGTAATTTAATAATAATATTCAATGTTTTTCTACAGTATATACAGTACTTTATCCTTACAATCAATTGTAATGAAATAAGTAATTATAACAACAATTATTGTGAACTTTGAACATAATGTCTATTATTAATATTAAATAATCAAATTGTAACTAAAGATTGCATTTTGTATAACATTGATGTCTTAAACATAAAAATGTTAGCATTTATGAGAAAATCGTATTTAAATTTACAAAAGTCATGCAATTTATTGAAAATTACAGCTAAAACTGTTTCAACTACAAGATGTTTGTCTACCATTGAGGTTAGTGTCAGATAATTCAATTATTACTCATATAATTGTTATTTAATTAAAAAATATATTATATTTAAGACACGACTGAATACAAGTAATACTGATTATAGATTTAGTCTAAACAACAATTCAAAGCTAACACCAGAACAGCAAAAATTTTATGAAGAAAATGGTTATATTGTAGTCAAGAATTTGGTGCCAAAGAATGACATCAAAAGATATTTGTATTAATTAAACTAATTTATAACAATATTTGTAAAAATAATTAAATATTGTTTGCTTTTTAGGAATCGTTTCAAAGATATAGCCAATCGTAAAGTGTCGACACCTCCAGGTTTAACCGTCCAAAAGGAGGTGTCGGTGGCTAAGGAACAACAAAATGAGAATACTGTCTATAAATTACAGGAATTGTTTTGCGATGAAGTGCTGTTTGAGTATTGCAAACACCCGGATATCTTGAATTACGTCGAGGCCTTTATCGGACCAAACCTAATGGCAATTCATACAATGCTTATCAATAAGCCTCCGGATAAGGGAACCAAATCATCTCGACATCCATTACATCAGGACTTGCATTACTTTCCAATACGACCGGCCGATAAAATCATCGGCGCCTGGACTGCAATGGAGACTATTAACAGAGAAAACGGTTGTCTCGTAGCTATTCCTGGAAGTCATAGGGGGCAACATTTAGAACACGGCTATCCCGATTGGGAGGGAGGGGTCAATAAAATGTATTACGGCATTAAAGAAATGACCGGATCTGAAAACAGAGTACATCTGGAGATGGAGTGCGGAGATTGTGTACTCTTTCATCCGCTATTAATACACGGATCGGGAATGAACCGAACAAAGGGATATCGTAAGGCCATATCGTGTCACTTCGCGGCTTCCGATTGTCATTATATTGAAGTGAAGGGTACAATTCAAGAGAATCTGGCCAATGAAATCATAGATGTGGCCAAAAAACGGTTCGGCGCAACATTTACCGACTATAGCGTATGTTTTGATTAATACTTATTTATGGTAATATAGATATTAAAATTGATTTATTATTTTTAAAATTAATAGCTTATATGGAAATTCAGAGCACAACTCGTGAGAGGACAACAAATTAATCTCTAGAAATCTCAAAATTTTATATTAAATAATATAATAGTTTTTAAAACTATTTTTGTAAAATAATGTTTTTAATAAAATAAAATTTTATGATTAAATATTACGATAAGTTTACAGTAAGAAATTAATATTATGAATGAAATGACGATAAGATATAAGTTACAATATAAATGTCTTAATTTTAAAGTAATAATTGTTTTAAATTTTTAATTAATAAATCATTATTTTTTTGTTTGTCAACTGAAATGTTGTCTAGGATTTGAACTAAATTTTCTTTTATTAAAACTTCTTTTAACAAATCATTTTCAGCAAATGATATCAATGCAATCAAAATTGATTTATTTATCGATAAATTATTTTCATGAGTTATGAAAAATACTTTTACAATAAGTGGTAAAATATCTGCCACTTCTTCACGAAGAGCTTCAGTTTCTTCTGCGGCCCAAATGCTAAGCACTCGAATCGATGCTAATATACTGACAAATATATTGCTTTCAGTATCTAATTGAATGTCTTTAGCTCTAAAGTTCTGCAAATATCTTATAATTATAGACATCGTGTCTTTAATTGCAGTTAAAATGTCATAAATTTCATCTGAAGATAAATGTTTTAAAAGAAACATCTCTTCTGAATCATTGGTCAAAGTTATGACTGAATGCTCTAAAATGACAAAACTATTGGCCAAACAATTCAAATCAATGTCTTCTGCATCACAAGTCATGGCGATCTCAATACAAGACAAACGCAATAAAAGCATAAATTTTTTTGCTTTATCTTTAGACCACGTCTTTGAGGGCAAATGAATCCATTGAAATCCATTATATATTTGTGTCAAAATTGAAGCCAATTTGATGACCGGATCTCTTAATTGTTTATTAAGTTTATTTTGTATCGTTTGAAATATAATATCACTTATGATACTAACGGATGGATTATTTGATTGTTTCTCAAAATATTTATGATTTTTGTCGAGAATTGCACTCAAATGAAGACATAAATCAAATCTAAGTTTTTGTTGATTTGATTTACATTCAGAAGCAATAGTTATCATAAACTCATTGAATGACTGTTCCTCGATATCCGACCACTCAATAGTTATGGCAATCTTTGATAGCAATTGTCTGATCGTTGACTTATTGACAGCAAATCTCTCGTCAGAATAAATTTGAACCAAAATTTCGGTAAATTTTGTTTTAAATAAACGATTAATTGTTTGAAAATTAGTTGTTTTAATCTGTTCTGAGCTGAAGAAACAATCAAAACATTCAATAATATCGCTAAGCATTTGTTTCTCGTCTTCACACAAATCAATCTCTTTATTCTTCAATAGTTTTAATATCAATGCCATCGATGACAACAATTGGATATATGTTTTAGTGTCAATCACTTCAGGATTCTTCAAGAAAAAAGACGAAACTATTGACACACCAATTGTTTGATAGATATTTTGTGGACAATCATCGGGAACATCAACACCATTGTCGTCGGACAATAATAGTCGGCACAAAAATGAGGAACCGATGGCTTTAAATAACTCTTTGTTTTGTTTATCACTTAATAGTTTGTCTTTCAAGAGATGGGAAACAACCAAAAGTGCGCCAAACTTTTCGGTGTCCGTCTCGGCTCTGGTCATGGCATCGATGGCCATCATATAGTGATGTAAATTTTCTTCGGATACATCCATTTGTTTTTTATGATTTTTAAATCACAAATTATCACACAATTGATCCAAATATACAATTCGTTTATTTTTCTAAACAAATGGTTTGTTTGATGTCTTTTCACGTGTTGTTTGGATTTTAATTGTTTTTTAGTAAATAATGTCAAATATTTTTATAGATTTTATTATAATATACTGTAGACTATTGTATAATAATAATAATAATATAGATTTAATTGTAAACATTATTTATGGACAATAACTGCTATTTTTACGTAATTTTAAATAAAATTGTCTCTTCTTTACCATTGATTTGTAACCAACTCTTGAACTGTAATCATGAGTTCAAAGAGTCGACACAACTCATCAAAACATAGAGACGATGACAGACATTATCGACAAACTTCTTCATCACATTCATCATCAAAATACAGACATTTCAATGATAAGAAAGACTCGAGAACTTCAAGAGATGATCAATCACTGCATGAACTGACAGATCCCATGTCTTCAAGTCATATATTTTATTATGAAAGACATAAATATGAATTGAATAAAATGTTTTTCTTGGGCACCGATGTCCTAAAGATTGGTACCAAAGAGTACGATGAGTTGTGGTCATTCGTCAAGAGATATCAATCAGCAGAAGAAAAAGCCATTGAAATTAATAAACAGAAAGAGTATTATGAAAATATTGGGATCAAGTTATCTCATTTGACACATAAAATACCCGTCGAGTGGACAGATATATCGGTACTCATTGCTAAGACATCGGTAGTCAACGATCTCGAAGACAAATATTATGTGCGAAACCGTTTAAGCCGCCAAAGGGTTGAAGAGTTTCGCAATATTTTGGTCTTATATTTAGATTTCTTGGATAAACAAAAAGTAAAGGCTTTGGAGAAATTAAAACAAATGCAAATGGATTTACCGATCTATCAGTTTAAGGATCAAATACTTGAAGCTATTGAAAATCATTCAGTAGTTCTCATCGCTGGTGACACCGGCTGTGGAAAGTCGACACAAGTACCACAGTATCTGTTGGGTGCAAACTATGACAAGATATGTTGTTCTCAACCCCGACGTATAGCATGTATTTCATTGAGAAAACGTGTCGCCTATGAGACACACAATGAATTTGGTACTCAAATTGGTCATCAAATTAGGTTTGAGAGAAATAAATCAAAAGACACAAAAATATTGTTCATTACTGAAGGATTACTTTTGAGACAAGTAATCACAGATCCAATGCTATCCAACTATAATGTTATAATTCTTGATGAAGTCCACGAAAGACATTTGTCGTGTGATTTCTTGTTGGGTGTTATGAAGTGTTTGGTTCATAAGCGAAGTAATGATCTTAAAGTCATATTAATGTCTGCGACAATTAATATAAAACTTTTCAGCGATTACTTTGGTAAATGTCCAGTGATTGAAGTTCCGGGACGTCTCTATCCGATTGATGTCCAGTACTTTCCAATTCCTAAAATTAAATTTAGTGAAAAATCTCGACGAACTGATGCCGGACCTTATCTACGGATATTGCAGATGATTGATGACAAATACGATTCAAAAGAAAGAGGAGATTTGCTAGTCTTTCTAAGTGGTCTATCGGAGATTAATTCAGTTGGAGAAGTGCTAAAAGATTATGCCCGAGAAAATCACAAATGGATTATACTATGTCTTCACAGCACTTTATCTATCGAAGAACAGGACAAAGTGTTTGATGTACCGCCAGAAAGTGTCCGTAAATGTATACTATCGACAAATATTGCCGAAACCTCGTTAACCATTGACGGCATACGTTTTGTCTGCGACTCCGGTAAAGTCAAAGAAATGAGTTTTGATGTCAGTTGTCGTATGCAAAGACTACAGGAATTTTGGATTAGCATTGCATCTGCAGAGCAACGCAAGGGTCGGGCCGGACGAACGGGTCCTGGAGTTTGTTATCGACTTTATTCTGAAAAAGACTTTTATTCATTTGAACGCAATTCACAGCCAGAGATTAGACGCGTTCCGTTGCACTCATTGTTATTACAGATGATATCAATGGGTTTACCCGATGCCCGAAAATTTCCTTTTTTAGAACCACCGGATTCTAATAGTATAGAAGAGGCCATTAAAAGTCTTAAAGAACAATCGGCTCTGACAGACGACGAGGAGTTGACACCAATGGGCAAAATGTTGTCGCGATTACCCGTTGATATAACTATTGGAAAAATGCTTATTCTTAGTTCAGTCTTTAATTTAACTGAACCTATACTGTCATTGGCAGCGGCTCTCAGCGTACAATCGCCGATCACTAACCAATCCCTTCACGATAGGGATGCTATTGAGGCGCGACGTTCATTAAACTCACCAGAAGGCGATCCCTTCACACTATTGAATGCTTACAATAAATGGTTAGATATTAAATCGGAACAACAAAACTCGAGGAAGTGGTGCAAACATAGAGGTCTTGAAGAACAACGTTTTTATGAAATGACAAAACTTCGACAACAATTTAAAGATATACTAAAAGATGCCGCACTACTTGATAGTGGGGACAGTGGTGTTAGCTCTTATGAGTCCAGTGCTGATCGAATCCGAAGATTTGGAGAATTAAAACATTTAAGAAAAATAAAGAGAGAATATGAAAGAAAAGCACCGAAACAAAGAAAAATGCTTAAAATGGATGGAAATGAAGACGAAGACCACAATCAGAGTTTGAATATGGATGTCAAAGATATCGAGTTTAGACTATCACATGATGTCAGACAAGTACAGGTATTATTGATTTTTTTATTGAAATTTGTATAATACAGTACATGGCATACATACCATTCAGTATTATAATGATATAACTTATAGTTTAAAATAAATTAGTAATACAATAGTAATATTTATAAAATTTAAAAGTTCTTAAAGTTTTTTTCTTCAAAATACTTAAAGTTAGTTTAGATTTATTACAAATGAGACATTTAGTTGACAACCGGTAATTAACTACAGTTTTATTAAAATGTATTTTTATTTTTGTCACAATTTATTATTAAAAATCTTGTGTCAAATACGATAGTCTATTGTCGATAAATAACAAAAATGCGTGAAAGCATTGGTAGATTGACTATAATATTAAACTTATCTATAAAACCATAGAACCATTTGATACGCGTGTCTAATGTTATATTTGTTAGACATTGAGAAACGCCAGCAGAGACTATAGTAATCGAGATATTACTCTAATGAAGTTAATCCTATCCAATGGATTGCACCCACAGTTGACTATCGGTGACGAACACAACACATATAGACCCGATTCCGATCAAATGTTTCACACTAAGGTATATATCATACAAATTAATGTTTTATGTTATTTACACATAAAGTCAATTACAAATGTATTCATTAGATTCATTATTGTCTTTGTTTTAAAAATTTTAAATCAATTTTATTAAATAGAAATTTTTATTGATTATAATATAAAGCAATAATTTAATTAAAGGACAAACCATTTGTGACTCTCCATCCAAATGGTGTATTTGCTATCGAACCGGATCTCCTAAGACTAAGTAAAACTGATGAACAGCTCAAAGGATTTAGTAGTAGTAGTAGTAGTAGTGGTCCCGTAAGCTCTCGCTATCAACTCATAGCTTATGTATCATTACTGGAGACGACGAAACCCTATTTATGTAATTGTGTTCGTATACCAGCCGCTCATGTATTACTTCTTGTATCCAATGCTATCGACACCGACTATAACTTATCCAGGTTTGCACTATATTTTATATACATTGATATTTTATTTATATAATTGTATAAATCATTTTAAAAACTTGTTTATAATAATATTATTATTATAATCATTGCAATATAAATGCACAAATAATGTAGAAACCTATAACACATATTAATTTTATAAATTAATAAACCGCATCATTTAGTGAATTGTTAAAAATACATTTTTACTAAATTTCTCAAATTTTATGCAACCTTTTATTGATATTAAAATTTTTATATTAAATTATAAGAATATAATATTTAGTTAAACGATTTAAAAAAATGTTTTACTAAAGTATATTATTATTATTATGTAAATAGCTTTTGGCTTCAAATATTAATTTAAATGTTAACAACCAATAAATGTATTTATAATATAGTTTAGACTTTAAGGTTGAGTTTTAGAGTATAGAGTTTATAATTTTTGAAAATTATTTATCAATACTTCGACATATCGTATAGTATTTTAATATTAATACAAGTCTGAAGAAAATCAATTTATTGTTTGTTTATATGTATTTGTAATGCATTTGTTGTTTAGATAAATAATATTGATATATAAGTAGAAATATTTTGAAAGTATAAACTTTAATGCAATATAAATACAGAATGAATTGATTTTTTCATTATATTTTTATATAGGATTGTATGCGACGGTTGGCTTGAATTACAATTTACAAACAGTCAGTCCTCACAAAAGTTTATTTTACAGGCACTACAAGTCCGTGATTTATGGCATAACTTATTGTATAAATTATTTGATGGTAAGACATGACTTCACACCGACATATCTATCTATTAAATCACTATTTTGACACTTTCTCTATAATTAATGCACATATTATATACAGTATTATAATATGATATAAGAGATATGTTGAATAGTTTTGCAATTATTCCCTTATCGGTAATATCAATAAATGTTTACATTTTGTTAATTAATACTAATTATTAAGTAATTCAGTTATATATAATTATGTTAAATCGGATATTGAATATAATATTTATAAAATATATGAATATAAAAAATAGATATTATAATATTTKTATAATACAGTATAGATTATATTCCATTATTTAATTTAATAAAGCAATTAACTAATTAATTTACAATATATTAGTTTAAATATATATTTTATACATAGAATGTTTTGACAAGGGATGTGGTGGTGACGGCATTCAGGATAATACCAGTGCTTGTAATATAAAGAGTGCTGAAGTGCGGCAAATGCAGAGCCAATTAGTGAAAAGCATTTACAACTTTATTCGCACTGATATTGCATTTTCAATAAAAAGATTATTGGCTGCAGATATCAAACAGTTATATATTGGATCCGATGGTTATTTGTCGCTAAACAACGATCTTAAGCGCAGTCATCTCTTTAATGATAGTCTCAAACAATCAAATGAATATAGTGTTCATCCCATTAAAGGCGGACTTCAAATAAAGCCATATCTTACTTATAACTGGTATTACATTTTCTTTAATTTAATTATATATTTTTTAATTGTTGTATAAATTAATATATTTTTATAATAAAGTTTGTTTTTATTTAAGATTTTATCAAATTTTTATAAGTTTAATATCATTTTTAATTTGATAAATCTTAGCTAAAAAATGTAATACAAAAGAATTGTTAATGATATGATTAATATAAAMCACWATTATATTAAGTTTAATTATTGCAAATATTGAATACATCAAAACTATTTTATAAAATATACACTTTTTAGCTAAAAATGTTGTTTAAAATAGAAAATTATTGATTGAATTTTTATTTATATAATTAGTTTGACAGATAATAGCTTATCTGTACAAAGATTGCTGAAAAAGGAGTGGAAGTGTGAGATGTGTGGCCAAGAAATGTTGTCGACACCATTGGAACAAATTAGACATATAGACAATTGTAAACCAATTGATGCCAACAATAAAATAAAGAGTGAAACCAATTGTGATGATATATTAAGTTCAATACCGACCACAAGTGACCCGACGACGGCATACGACCCGATGAAGATTGTCTACAATTGCAATGATTGCAAACAACAATTATTATTCACTTCAATTGAAATACTTAGACATAAACGAAGTCATCAATTAAGTAATACAGAGAATCTTTAATATTAAATGAATATCATTGATATTTTGTTATATTAATAAAAAAAATTATATATTAATAATATTTTTATGATTGCATTTTAATAAATAATTAAATTATTATCTAAATTGTAAGTATGAGCAGTACTTATGCCATATGTCGCGAGCTATTTAAATAGTTGGTCAATGTGTTGAGGCTTTAGGCATTGAGTATAATGGAAAAACAGGGACCTAACTGTATGGTATGTCCCGAGTGACACATTCAGCAAAAGTTAACCCTAAGTTTAGATCACTATTGTTATGGAAATAATAGTAGTTATGGCTTTAAACACAAAAGCACTTGTACTGTATTCTCCCTATTCCTGTCCTCATCCCTGGGTTGCTCTCTGTCTACTATACAATGCTCTACCAGTGCTCTATCTCTATGCATAGGATGTATGTTTATAGTGTACTACATAATAGTATTTATATGTGTATATGCTATTTGTCTACCAGTGCAGAGTCACATCTGTTAATTTTAAATGAGTATTGAAAATGATTTTTGGAAATCAAATCCTAACCAAAAAGCAATGAAATTGTGAGTTAACAGGTGGACAGTACTTCTGATTTCTAGCTAACTGTGCGCTTCAATGGCCCACTATTGCGGTGATTCAATTGTGATTTATCGCTAATATTTTGTATGTGTATATTGTAATCAAATCCTCTTTAATCATAATCTTGTTTTGTTGGCTTAAGTTGCGACTCCCTATGCTATAGATGTGTAACTTTGCTAACATATACAACATTCAACACAATCATCAAAACAAACTTACTTTTATATGATTTTTGTTGATCTCATTTCAAGTTTGTACGAACAGTACAATAGAGTTAAAACAAAACACTTGTGGTTATTATGTTAATCCACTCATTCAAGTGATAAACGAATTATTCATTAATTTATTTTTACATTTTCTGTCAATAATTTGTTTATTGCTTTATTCATAATAAAATTAATATAATAAAAATTTATATCCTTTTTCTAAATTAAAGAGTTTCAGATTTTAAGGGTATGTATTAGTTCTCACATTAAAATCACATAAATATTAAATACATACACTTTACTGTATAATAATGAGAAACTAGGATCGGTAGTAGAAAGAGGAGGAATGTTGAAATAGACTGTTGAGATGAGATATTTATAGATAAGCTTAGGATGAGATGCTTTGGGCTATGGATTCGTGAGAAATGTTACACTAAAACACTAACAATCCATATCTGATTGTCTGTGCTTTTGCTAACAGCACTGTTATGCCGATTCCAGTGCTAGTGTTACACTTCACGGCAAATTGTATCACAATTTAAATACAAAATCAGTTGTTAGTCATTCACATGAATAAATAGTATGGATAGTATTGGATGTTAAGTATAAATATCTTTTAACGCAATGGCACCGTTAGTTGCATGCATTGAGGCGGTAAAAACAATATATACAATATATCATATATAATATATACGGAATATAATACTTTAGACTAATATGTGTAAAGTTTTCGATACATATGATTATCATATGATTGTATTGAATGATGAAATTATGTTATGGTTGTTCCCATCTCTCTATTTTGTAAATTAAATCATACAGTCTATCGATTCTTGAAAATGACATTTCAATTTCTTTACTCATAACTAGATATAACATAAAAGCTTAAGTCTATATGTGTTTTGTATTATAAATTATAATATAACTCTATCGCCACAAGATATATATATATATATTATATTATATATTTATAATCAAATTGTTTTGTTGTTTTCACAATTAAATATATAAGTGTCAATAAAATTAATTAATGTTATACTAATAGACTCTAAAAGCTCTTTATTTAAAAAACTCAACAAACCATTAAAAAATTGAACAAATTTTAAAGTTATGATATACTATATAAGCTTCTGATGTGATTTATATTTGCTGTAAATACTTTCTCGGGTTATGTCAGTCCATTAAAAGACAAAACAAATAAACTAAAAGACATTTTCAACAACTGATTGTTTGTTACTTAGCTTGAGTTCAAATAAATAGTTTATAACTACATGTTTAACACAAGTGTCACACCAACCGCTTAACTGTATTGTTTGTCATCAAATCCCAATTTAACTCAATGCTGATCTCTTACATGTCTTTATTCAACATTTGTCTCATTCATTCATTAACTGTCTGTTTCGCTATTTCTCTATAGACTTAACTTTTACTTAACTCAACAAAATATATGGTATAATAAAATTCAATTAAACATTTAGTTTATTTTCTTACAATCACTGGTCACTGATAGTCGTCTAGAGATTTGTGGATATTTTGCTCTTTTATGTCTATCATTTAGTAGATTCTTGTGATGCGTTATGTGAGCGCATGTATACTCACATTTAAAATTAAATAAAAGGCACGAAAGTGATGGCACGCGCGCACCGCTATAGGCCGTCCAGAGCCCGGTTGTGTTACTTTGATTGGTTTGGTTGAAATCCGTGACAAATTATTATTGTGCGCCAGCACTGGGATGCGCTCCACTTACTCGACTATCTTCCTCTCTCTCACTTTCCCCTAAATACCATATACTTGAAACTGAATGCAAATATAATACTCTCTTAAACTGTACTCTAAGTTCACGAAAAAACATTTCTTTTATCAGATTATATTGTCATAAGAAAGTACTTCTAATGTGAAAAGCATTTACTTCTAGACCTATAATAGACTTATAGTATATCAAAGTGAGAGCTACTTAAGGGACGGTATATAATAGTTTTGAACCAATACTTTCTTTTCAACTTTTTTTGTAACAAATTTTTATGTAAAAATATTTAACGCTTTCAATTGCAACTCAATTGTTATTATACTGTATTTAAATCATTGGAAATATTGACACTAAAGTTAGAAAACTTTATGTTTGAGTCAATTATTTGTGTGTCAATTGGGAGGCAAAACATACATAACTTCATAACTTTTTTACGATTGTATGGTATTTGCGATGATTTTCTGGTTTGAAGTGCACTCAACACTATCGACAATACATCGATTGAATGCATTGAATGTGTAAATGAATTAACTATAAAGTATTGGACTGAAAATCTTTTTATTTTTTATCAAACATTTTGATTCATAAATAATATCTGATTTGGCATTGAATACAATAGAAAGTTAGAGTGACTACAAGTGCCAGCCCTGGAACTACATCACCACTATATGGAGTCTTCAATGAGTGCGGAGTCATTGACGGCAGGCTTCAGCCCATCTGCGGTGAGGTCTCTGACAACAACAGGAGCACAGATGTCACAGTATACCAGTGCTGCTCATTGTGGACCCTATTCTGGCATATTTAATGTCTCTTCTGTATTAGCCGAGCATTTAAATGCTAGTCGAGTCACACCATTTGGTATCAGTCCTGGAAATGCAGTAGCAATGCTCCATAATCGTCACATACCTGATCCATCACATCATCATCACAGTAGTCAGTGCTCTATGCTATCCATTCAGGACAGTGCCGCTGCTCTCAGTATTTGCGGTAACGTTGGTATTAACGGCAATCCATTGACGACAATGAGTGACTTGAGCTCACCGACGCCCAGCACTGATGGTGATTCTACTGGTGATCATTACCACACTGAAGACAGCATAACCTCTGCACCAGAAGATAATAAATTATTTACAATAAAGCGTGTCATACATCAAACATCTCAACATCATTACAATCATCCGAAAGCACTGGAATGTAACCAAACGTTTGCGGCCAAAGAGCAGGAAAACAATTTAATTAACGGAAATAAAAGCCGATGTAATGCCCAACAAAAGAAACACCGACTCGGAAAAACTGTAAGCAAACACTCCCTGTCCATCCTCTCTGTCCTCTCGATCCTCTTTTTTCCAACACTTAATCATTTATATTGTGACAGCAGTTYCCCAGTTATTGTTCATTCAAAATCTAACAGTGCTTTTAATTGACTTAATTAAAAACAATTTCTTTAATATTATTTATWTAGTTATTATAATTATAATTATAATTGTAATGTTTGTTTATTTTACATTTATTTGATTTGATTTACTTTTGTAGGAATTTTGAATGCTTTTTGTTTGTTTGTTTGTTTGTCATTGAGTTAAATACTGTACACCCCATCCAATAAAGTTTAAGTGTTGTTAACATAGTTGAGTAATTATGTTATCCAACTGTCCTCTCAAAGCACATACGTCTGAACATTAATGCCAGAGAACGGCGCCGAATGCATGACCTCAACGATGCTTTGGATGAGTTGAGAACAGTCATACCATACGCCCACTCGCCGTCTGTAAGAAAACTGTCTAAAATTGCAACTTTACTTTTGGCCAAAAATTATATTTTAATGCAGGTATTGACTTATTTAACATTAATTTGTTAAAAATTATTATTATGGTATTAAGTTTATATTGTTAATAAGTTATATGACAATATCATTATTAATAAACTTAAATTGATATGTTTTTTACAAAATTTCTTATTAAACAATATAAGATTTATAAAAAATTTACATTTTTATATAATTTAATTAATATAAAATACATACAAATTTAAAGGGAAATGCATTGGAGGAATTGCGGCGGATAATAGTCTATATGAATCAATCGGGTGTTCCATTGTCTCCGGCAATGGCTGCTACCTGTGCTGCGGCCGCATCACTCCCGTCACTTCACGCACACTTCAGTCAGGACAGCGGTCTAATGAATTTTAGCAGTAATAACACTAACTATCCAAACAGTCCTTCATCTACACCAATAAACATTACAAATAACAACAACAGTACGAGTATTATGTCGGATATAATAGGAAAGACATCACCAAATAAGCTAATGTCTTCTTCACCGCCATTAAACTGTTCTCAATGTGTGGACAAATAATATTGTTATCATAACTAACTTTCATGTTCTCTGTTTTATAAATAAAATTATGTTATGTATTAATATCATAATATAAGTTTATATTGTATACATTTGTAAAATATAATTTTTAAAAATGAAAGTAAAACTTTTGTTTATTAAATAAGTAGTATTTTAAGCACAAAATAATTAATATTATTTTAATTTCTATATATTATTTACATTAAATAACTAATAWTACATATAAATAAATTATAAATAAAAATGATTGTCATAAGCTGTATATTGCAATTAAATTCGATAATTTTAAAAGTAATTAAAGTGATTATAATAATTAAATTATTTTTTAAAAATGAAACATTTTATAAATGACTGTCACGTGTCGATCTCTGGCTATAAAATCAATGTTTAAATGTTTGGTTTCTCTATTTATTAAAAGGTAATCTAAAATCTAAATTACAAATTTGTGAAATGGAGCGTATGTAAACTGATAAGCACCCGTACCTAACCAAACGGTGCTAAAAACCTCTCTCTCTCTCTCTCTCTCTCTCTCTCTCTCTCTCTCTCTCTCTCTCTCTCTCTCTCTCTCTCTCTCTCTTCAGATGCAAACTTATAATATTGTGATTTCAAAAGAGAGTCATAAAATTTTTCAAAATTTTATTTAACATTATATATAAAATAGTTTTATATATTTAACAACATATATTATACAGTAGTATACTATAGTAACAAAGTTAGATAATTTTTATGCTGTATTTTAGTTGAAGTAATGTTGTGTTTTATATGGTATATCCTATAATAGAAAAATGAATGAAAAGATGGTATACAATACATTAAGAGTGATATGTATTGATAAATCACTTAAGGTTTGTRCAAAAAAATTTTATTTAAAGAATAACTTTGAAAAATCGTTGCTTAAAAATATATGACTTTTATGAAACAGATATRTTATACAATGTTATTACAATGATTTGAGG